GTGTGTGTGTGTGTGTGTGTGTGTGTGAGAGAGAGAGAGAGAGAGAGAGAGAGAGAGAGAGAGAGAGAGAGAGAGAGAGAGAGAGAGAGAGTTTGCATCCGTCTGTTGCCTGCACCTTTACTGCGTCAACTGTCGCGTTTGTTTTTGTCATGGTATGCCCATGTGGTGAGTGGTGGAATATGGCCCTTAATGCTGTTCCTTACACCCAGCTGGGGATAGCTGCCGGCCACAGCATACAGTCTGCATGGTATGCCCTGTCCCGCATGGAACCGCCTGGTCCAATCCTGGCCTGTGTGGGCTAAATGGGATCTGGGTGCGGTGTCACTGCAATGGACCCACTCTGTGTGCCACGGGCATATTTGCCACGACGGGTCTTCTTGTTTTAAGTAATGCAACGGCTGTAAGTTGTAAGTTTTTAACCTTTTTTTTTAAATGAAATGCAACCTTTTTCCTTCTATTCTGCCTTTTCCGACCAATACAACTCAACATTCATGTAATGCCAATATGGTGCACCCGTTGTCAGTTTCTGCATTGCTTCCACTGTTTCTCTGTCTTACACTAGCTGCAATGGGAATCTCACATCATGGTGGCTTGTCTTTGTATCCATCCTTTTTATTGTTTCCACGGGCATGCTGGAAACTCATCTGTGTGAGCAAGCCTTTTGAAACGGTTTTCACCTTTCAGGTAGCAGTTTCAGATCCCAGAGCTCAATCCCTAGACCTTGCCCTTACCCGTGTACAGTACCGATGACCCGTGTGTGCTTGAACCAACGACCTGTGTTTTGAAAGCTGCCTGTTTGTTGCTGTAGGTAGGGTGGTCGTGGGGTCTTCAACCGTAGGTCTGTAGGTTAGAAGTCTTAGCAGTGATAGGAGCCGTAGCTGTTACAGTGTTGAAAGGTCAAGTCGTAGCTGCTACAGCACTGAGGGGTCAAGCCAGAGCCTTCCGGAAGTTCCGGAACTGGCTCTTCGTGAGTCATAGTAGTCAGTCCGTAGGCAAGTGGTCAAGGGGGCAGTCTTACCTTGCTGAGTCAGTGGTACCCAGTCCCAGTCGCACCTTGTCAAGTCAGCAAGTACAATGTGGGACTGTGTGCACCCCGGGCCCGGTGGAGGGGCAGACCAACGAGCTACAGACTGTCTCTTATACACATCTAGATGTGTATAAGAGACAGGCGGTACCCAGTCCCAGTCGCACCTTGTCAAGTCAGCAAGTACAATGTGGGACTGTGTGCACCCCGGGCCCGGTGGAGATGGGCAGACCAGCAACAATCCCAAGTATAAATAAAGAGGCAGCGATCAGTCAAGGATTCCTTCTGCCTGTGAGCCGTGCGGAAGCGCTATCGAAGTGTCTTGTGTGTGTAGGTCTGCAGGTGCCCGTTGACTAAGAGGGCTAAGAGGAGGAAGACCGGCCATAGCCGATAGTTAGTAGAAGAGAGAGACGGCGGCCATAGCTGCCACATCAGCAAGGTTTGTGTGTGTGTGTGTGTGTGTGTGTGTGTGTGTGTATACATGTGAACTGTGTGTGTGTGTGCGGGACATCCAGGGAGATCCAGTGTAAACTGTGTGAGTGTGTGCGGGACATCTAGGGAGATCCAGGGTGTGTGTACGAACCAGTTGCTGAGAGTGTGGTGTACAGCCATAGCTGTACGAGACAAGTTGAATCTGAACTGCGGTCTTGGCTACGTTAACTCTGAGTTTTGTGTGGGCGCAAGTCGCCAGCTTGGTCGTCATCTGTTTGTACGGATGTTGAGTGACGAGAAAGACGAGTCTGATTGTATTGGTATCGGAGCTGGTTCCGACTGTCCCGTCCATACAAGTTGCGATCACCGCTGCCACGTCATCGTCGGGATCACTATCTTCATCGTCGCCGTCATTGCGGAGGACGATCATCATCATCATCGTCGCTATCGAGAAGAGTAGTAAAGTGCCTCGCCATCACTGCCGCTCCCGAGGAGAGGGAAGGGCCGACATCATCGAGCGCGCCAAAGAGAAAGGAGTTCGCCACGATAGTGCTGTCGAGCAGTCGAAGAGGAGTGGCCCTTGCTAAGGCGCCAGGCCAGCACGACTTGTGCAAGGAGGAGACTCGTGCCACGTTCGCATCGCGCGCCAGCTTTCCCTTGCACACGTATTGTGCGTCCACTACGTCGCGCGCTGCTACCCGTGGCCAAGCGCGCTGCTATCCCTATTGGTCGCAAGCGCTCCGCTGCCATCATGCCTCGCTACTAGTTGCGCGCCGGTTTCCCGCGTTTTCCCCCGCTGCGCGCTGCTGCCTGCTATCGCGCACTCTTTGCTGCGAACACACGACCGTCACGCGACAATTTCCCACCACGGTTGTCGCTGCCTTGCGCGTGCTGCCCGTAACCTCGCGCGCAGTTCGTCGTGCTTGCACGCTGCGCGCTATAGCCGTCCACGCTACTCGATTCTTGTGCGCCATTGGCCGTGGTGCACTGTTGCCCTATCGAGGGTCAACACACTCGTCAAAGTGAAGACTGCCGAGCTGCAGCGTGAGGGGATAGCGGTCGTGAAGGAGAGCCGGCCACTGCTGAAGATCGCTACCGAAGGGAAGAAGATCATCGTTGCGAGAGAGAATCGGGAAAGGTAACCGCTGTGCAGTGAAAGAGAGGAGCGGCCATAGCCGCTGAGTGCGAGCAGGAGAGTAACGGCGACGGAGAACGAGAGAGAGAGAGAGAGAGAGAGAGAGAGAGAGAGAGAGAGAGAGAGAGAGAGAGAGAGAGAGAGAGAGAGAGAGAGAGAGAGAGAGANAGAGAGAGAGAGAGAGAGAGAGAGAGAGAGAGAGAGAGAGAGAGAGAGAGAGAGAGAGAGAGAGAGAGAGAGAGAGAGAGAGAGAGAGTGATATAAGATTGGTTGAGCAGCCACGAAGAAGGAGGTGGCAGCCAAAGCCACCGAGCTCGGACTGGACAAGGAAGAAGAAGACCAGGAGTGACAAAGACGAAGTTGAGGGAGAGAGAGAAAGTAACGAGATAGGAGAGATGAAGAAGAGGAGAAAAAGCCATAGCCAAGGTGTAAGAAGAAGATAAGGGGGAGAAGGGAGAGAGGTTGGCGAAGGAGAAGGGTCGGCCACCATAGCCAAAGGTTGGAGCTTTGACTGGGAAGGTTGACCAGGAGGTTTGACCAAGTTGACCGGTCGTTGACCAGCGTTGACCGGAGGCCGTTGACCACGATTTTGACCAAATTGGATTCGATATAATCTCGCCAAGCCTTCAGCCTACCCCCTCGCCCTATGGATGTGCACTTACCCGTTGGTACTTGATGAGTTTGTTTGTCTCTTCTTTCTGCATTGAGTCACTTATGTCCAGGTCGATAGGACTCCGTGCATGAGGTCATAGAGCCGCGTTGACCAAACCTACACGGGCTGAGTAGGGCTTAAGTCCATGTCTGACGACTGGCACGTCCCAGAGACCTAACCCTCCTAAGGACCGGTACAGACCGGCGAGCTGCTCTGTTCACGTCGTCCTAAGTGCGACGTTAAAGAATTCATGAGGAGTTATGGGGGATCTCCTTAAATGCCTCCTGATCAGCAACATAGTTCTGTAGTGACGCCTAGAAGTAGGTCTAGGTTGGAGACCCTAGTTGACAAGATCTGAGAGGATTATGTGGTCCTTAGAGAGTCTGTCAGTCATTGAGTCAGTGGGCGGAAAGTCTAAGTGGTGAGGAGTTGAACTCTCACAGGTTGTGCATCTTTCACCATGGTGACCACGCGAGGAGGAACGAGTACCACCCCGTATAGCAAAGAGCAAGAAGAGCAAGCCGCCGCCCTGCTGAGAGAGAGAAAAGAGAAGATGGAGAAGAAAGAGCTCATAAAGCAGGTGAAGATGCTCGCCTTGATGGAAGAGCAGAAGGCCAAGCAAAAGCAGATGGAGGAGGAGATGAAGAAATGGGAGAAGGAGCAGGAAGAGAAAGTGGCGGCGATAGATGCAGAAGCAGAATCAGAAGCAAAGAAATAAGAAAAAGAAGAGGCAGAGGTTCCCTTGCAAAGGAATGTATGGAGGGAGAGAGGGGAATCTAGTGGGGCGCGGGAAGTAGATGCGAAAGTGAAGAAGATGGTAAACGAGTGGGTGGCCAACCTGGCATTGGGGGAGGAAGAAGAGGCATTGTTGCTTGTCCCCCAGGCAGAGAGGGAGGCATTTGCAAAAGAGTTGGAAGCGGAGGAAAACCCCTTGAGGCGACAGACTACAGAGGAGGAGACTTGGAGTGGAAACTGCGCTTGACAAGGGAACGGAGGAGGAGATTGGAGGCAGCAAAAACAATGGAGGGAGAGCTACAGGCCGCAAAAGAGCAACGGGGGCAATTGGCAGTACAAGTAGACCTCCAAAGAAAAATAGAGATTCTCTCTCAAAACATGGAGGCTATGTGTCCGATTTTCAATTCAACGCGGGTTTCGCGTTGAATTATTCAACGCGCATTGAATTCGTGTTGAATCCCGTTTAAATGCGCGTTAGACGTGAATAAACGGGGTCCGCAATGATTTTTTTCCTGGTCTAAACAGAATCCAAAAAAAAAAAGAAAAAAAATTGGGTTGTAGGTCCTTTTGAGGACTACAACCCTATATTTTTATTTTTATTTTTTGATGTTTGAGTATATTTTTTAAAAATTAAAAACATAAACACAATGAAAAAAAAAAAACGAAAATGAAATGAGTGTTTTTTTTGGGGGGGTTTCACAGAGATTTTTTTAAGGGCTAAAACAAAAAATGAAAAACAAATAAAAAATATAGGGTTGTAGATCTTTCAAAGATGTGCAACAACATATTTTTTTTGTTTTGTTTTAACTTCGTGTATTTAAAAAAAAAAATCAAAACCATAAAAAAAACAAATAAAAAAAGGAAAAAAAGACACGCACACACACATACACACAGACAGACACAGACACAGACACACAGTCAGACACACACAGTCAGACACACAGTCAGACACAACACACACAAACACATAAACACACACACACAGACACACAACACACACAAACACACATAAACACAAACACACACACACACACACACACACAACACACACAAACACACAACTGGGGGCGGTGGGGGATGGGGGATGTGGGGGGAGATTTTGGGGGGTTGGGGCTGGGGGATGTGGGGGCAGATTTCTCAGGGTTTGGCTGCAGTACTCACCAAATGTGCATGACGAGGTCTACGCATGCATGGCTTCACTCTAGGGTAGGGTAGGGATACAAGTCGCTCCGGCTAGTCTGAGTTCCCGCCTAGCCTTGGGTAAGCTAGGGGAAGGACGTTAGGATGTGTCCGCGGGCGCTGGCCTGCCTTGCTTAGGTAATCCTGCTGGGTAGACTCTCTGAATTGGGCCTGTAGAAGATTGCATGAGCCTGGCGTCTGAAGTTCCCAAACGGCAAGGTTCGTCCGCTTCCGCTTCCATTAGGGCTGGGAGGTTGGTCCAGCCCTGTTGCTTGTCACTGCTGTCTGGTCCAAGTTGCCCTCAGTACTGGCAGGGTGATGGTCCTGAGTGCTGGTCACACTGAGGTAGGATAGTAGGGACAGGGGGGCGCTGGGAGTATTAATGTGGAAATGGGTGGGGTAGGTGGCCTGTCCTATCAGCACAATCATTGGCAGCTGCTACCAGCAATCACCGCGGGTCTGGTCCTTGGCCTCTACAACACCTTGAGGATCTTCTGCTAGAACGTGGAATAATACGCCGCCATATGTTTTGTCTTTTGTGCATGTGGTGAGTAGAGGCCCATGGCCTATTTGCTTTCAATTGTCAAGGCCTGGAACCTTCCCGAATTTCCATTGGTCTGCTGCTGCTTGGGCCTTTGAGTCATGACTTTTCGATTTTGGCATGTGATTTCGATTGTGGACTGTGACTCCTGCCACTAGGACACGAATCTGGCCTGTGGAACTGCCCTTTACTCGTGGGATGTGACTCTTCAATATGACTTTTCATTATGAAACGTGATTTTTGCCCCTAAGATGTCACTGTTTGCTTGGTGCCTGTTGGACTGGACTGCTAAGGTACCTGACTATGACCTTTCTGAAATTGACTAACTCGGCCCTTTCTTGGCCAGGGCCTCTGACCCTGAGATCCGAATTTGGGGTCTGAATCGTGGAAGGCCATGTGGTGAGTAGAGGCCCTTAGGGCCACTGCACGTATTCCTAAGAAAAGAAAAACGAGAAAAAACAAAAGAAAAATGAGAAAACAAAAGAAAAACGAGAAAACAAAAGAAAAACGAGAAACAAAAGAAAAACATGAAAAACAGAGAATTAGTGACCCATAACTGTGATGCACAGAGTGCCACAGACCTGAATTTGAATCCAGACTATATATTCTCGGCCCACACAGGCAGTCTACAAGTCTAATGTCCATCTCTGCTCCACAAGGGGTTCTTGCTAATCCGTAGGGGCCCTTCAGAAATGAGACTGGACGAATAAATTGGAACATTTGTAAAAAAAAAAAAAAGGGGCATGCACTCACGTGCACACACATATGCTCACAGTGTTGGGGGATGGGGTGGCCCCAACTTTTTTCCCTCTTGCAGTTTGATTTTCGGGAGGGAGGGGGTTAATAGGGGTCGATTTCCCCCCCCCCCCCCTTGTTTTTAGTGTTTGGGCGCGTAGGGCCACGTGTCCGAGGCCCAACGCGCCCATCCCATTTTTTCGGATTCGATGGGAGACCCCCGTTTTTCCGTGAAATGGGATTCAACGGGGTTCAACGGAATTTAACGCCCCCCGTTGCCCGTTGTTCGGACACACAACATGGAGGTGGTTCGAAAGGCCCAACATGAACAGTTGCGCTCCATGAAAGGCCATGACATTGCCCTGCAGTCCATACGCACACGTTTTAAAGATTTTGCAAGGGATATGATGATGCGCGTGGGCACTCCGTTGCGCGCTGCTTTAGAGGGCACTGAGAAGTTTTGCGTAGGCGCCATAGAAGGCGCTAAGTTAGCGGTCTCCAAAGAAAAGGAGGCACGGCCCAGTCGCGAGCGTATTAAGGCCAGATTCCCTGAACCCTACGGAGGGAAGGAGGGAGAGGATTTTGATAATTGGGAAGCCAATATCAAGTCCTATATCCACCTCCAATTTATCCTGCCTGAGAAGCAAGTTCTTGTGGCATTTCAGGCGCTAAAGGATGAAGCAGCCAGCTTTGCTAGGTCGCTTGCCCGTGCCACCAACTGTGACAATGATATGGTCACATACTCCTCAATTACTCACGTGAACGAATTTCTTATTGCCCTCCGGGACCGATTTGCAGATGTCACTAGGGGCCTTAGAGCCTAATACAAACTGCAAACAATCCACTTACGAGAATGGAGTGCGAAAGCACTCAAGGCCACCATGGATGAACTCTTCGTTGTCCCAAGCCATGGGGTTACTGAGCCCCAACTCGTCCAGTTTTTCTATCGCGCCATGGCCGAGGCTCTGAACGGGCACTTTTTCGATAAGAAGCAACAGCCCAACACGACGTATGATACACTTAGCAGAGAGGTTGTTGCGTACGAGGCCCAATCCACGTCAGTTACCACTTTTTGGCACAAGGACCTCGACAAAGGTAAAAAGTGGAAAAGTCGGACCATCACCAGTCAAGTCAAGGCTAAAGATAGCCTTATTCTTACGTTAGATGAAGGTGGTCCGGATGAGGTCCCCCATAGTGAGATTGAGTCCTCGAGGAGGAGGACAGTGGTGAGGGTCAGTGGAGGACCTACTCTGTTGTCTCGGCCGAAGGGAGGCCGCAAGGTAGAGGGAGAGGCTGGGGCCAAGGGGGCCGGGCCTCTTGTGGTTGAGGACAGGGTGGCTTGGGGGTTGGCGGCAGAGGAGGCTGTCGAGAGGGAGGAGGGGGTGAAGGTCCCTCATCAAACCGTCCACGTCGTAATTGGTCACTTCCCAAAAGGGGTGAATGGCACCCTGCTCTGCCTAAGGGCAGGCCCTGGGAAACCTCGCGCATCGAAAATAAAAACTGGCAGGATAGGATAGATACTTGGCAGCTTGTGTTATGTGGTGATCCGGGGCACATTGTCAAATTTTGTCCTAAATATAGGAATGCCCGAAACTGTGGAGTCAGCAAAAGGCAACTGTCGGTAGGGGTAGCAACTGCCCTTGGCGGCAGAGGAGGCTGTCGAGAGGGAGGAAGGGGTGAAGGTCCCCGTCAAACCGTCCACGTCGTAATCGGTCACCTCCTAGAAGGGGTGAATGGCACCCTGGTCTGCCTAAGGGCAGGCCCTGGGAAACCTTGGGCATCGAAAAGAAAGACAGGCAGGANGTCACCTCCTAGAAGGGGTGAATGGCACCCTGGTCTGCCTAAGGGCAGGCCCTGGGAAACCTTGGGCATCGAAAAGAAAGACAGGCAGGATAGGATATATAATTGGCAGTGTGTGTTATGTGGTGATCCGGGGCACATTGTCAAATTTTGTCCTAAATATAGGAATGCCCGAAAAACTGTTGCGGAGTCAACAAAAGGCAACTGTCGGTAGGGGTAGCAACTGCCCTTACCCCTAAGCCATGTGGAGACGAGTGCGCGTTCAAGCAGAAACTCCCAACCTACATGAGTCTATGGCAGAGGTTGCTGGCCAGCGACTAGTTAGCGGTCCAGAGTCTGCTTATGTTAGGGTCTCTCTAGGCGCTTCCCCTCACATGATTGGCAGATGAGTTGAAGGAGAGGATGCCAGCCTGGGCCGCGATGAAGAAAGATGGGAAAGAGCAGCTAGTCTTAGTAGATTTAGAAGTCTTTAGAGGCAGGGTACGGTCCCTCATAGATAGTGGGGCCACTCGTAGCTACATTAGTCGTAGAGCGCTGAAGAAGCTAAAGCTCAATTTGAAAGGCCAAAAGTTGGATGAGCCCATAATCAGCATCCTCGCAGAGAATCGCGCAATGGGAATCGAGGATTACGTCGAGGGAGTCCAGGCATATTTGCGCCTAGAGCAAGATGGGAAGGTAGAGAGAGTTCTCCATTCCCTGCTCCTCGTAGAGGACAATCTCCCGTTTGATATGGTCCTAGGAATGGATTGGGGAGAGGCAGCAGGAGCCAAACTGCACCTAAGAGAGCATGAGTGTAGGCTTCCTAGTCCCTTAGATGGTGTCAAGGCGGCCCATTTGTTCCATGTCTCAAGAGTAGATAACTCCCTGGCACATTGTTGCCTCAGTGCTCTCGCATTCGCACGATTAGTGAAGAAGGAGCAATTAGAAGAGCAGGTCTTTGTGGCCTATGTCAGGCCAATCACTGAGCCTAAGAAAGAGGAGCCCACCAACCCACTAATTGCCAAGGTGTTGGAAGAGTACGCAGACCTGTCAGAGGCTCCATCAGGACTAGTTCCGCATCCCATCCAGCACCGCATTAAGATAGAGTCTGGCAGTAAGACTCCTAAGGGAGCAGTGGGATGTCTCCCAAGGAATTGGAGGAGTTGCGCAAACAGCTAGAAGAGCTCCTCAAGAACTGGTGGATAGGCCCTGTTCGTCTCTATTTGGAGCGTTTGTTCTCTTTGTCCCCAAGAAAGAGGGAGAGTTGAGAATGTGCACTGACTATAAGGGTCTCAACGCCATTACAGTAAAGAATGCAGAACCACTGCCCAATATAGATGATTTGTTGGATCGGGTGCAAGGCTGCAAGTACTTCTCAAAGATAGATTTGAAGTCAGGGTACCACCTGATAGAGGTTCACCTTGATGATCAGTACAAAACGGCGTTCAGGACTAGATACGAGCATTATGAGTTTATAGTGATGCTCTTTGGACTAACCAACGCATTGGCCACATTTCAGCGCTGTGTGAATGATTTGTTTAGGTCGTGGTTAGATAGATCTGTAGTTGTCTACTTAGATTATATTTTGATTTTTATTAAGACCCTCCAGGAGCACAAGGCTCATTTGAGGTAGATCTTGGAAAAGTTGCGCGAAGCAAATTTCAAGATCAACGCAAAGAAGTGCGAATGGGCCAAGACAGAGATTTTCTGCTTGGGCCACGTAGTAGATAGTGATGGCATAAAGCCCGAGGACAACAAGATCGCAGCGATCCGAGACTGGCCAACCCCACGTACCCTCTCACAATTGAGGCCATTCTTAGGATTGGCTAATTATTATAGGAAGTTTGTGAGGAACTTCTCTGCAATCGCTGCTCCCCTTCACAGATTGTTAAAGAAAGAGGCAATTTGGAAGTCGGACCAAGACTGTGCATCGACCCTGAAAAAGTTAAAGCGGGCCTTGATAGATTATCCAGTCCTCAATGTAGCTGAGCCATTCTTACCCTTTGTTGTTACTACGGATGCAAGCCAATATGACATTGGTGTTGTCTTACAACAAGATGATGGCAATGGGTACAGACCCGTAGAGTTCATGTCCACTAGGTTGCCTTCAGAGAAGGTAGCAACATCCACCTATGAGAGGGAACTCTACGCTCTCAGGGCAGCATTAGACCACTGAAGACATTACTTGCTTGGGAGGCATTTCAAAGTCTATTCAGACCACGTGACATCAAGGTGGTTGAACACGCAGGTCAAGATGACACCTAAGATTACTAGGTGGGCCGCCGAGATAGATCAGTTCTACTTCGAGGGAAGTACAACGTGGTTGCCGATGCCCTTAGTAGGAGAGCCGACTACTTTGGATCTATAGTTCACTATCTGGATATAGCGTCAGACTATAGCAAAAAGTCATAGACGTGTATGCGTAGGACCCTATCTATAGTGACCTCCTTAAGAGAGTCAAGTAGGACCCAAACAGTGAATCTCACTATCGCACCACTAATGGGTTATTGTTTGAGAAGACAGACGTCGTAGATCGACTATGCATTCCCAACAGCGAAGAGATCCGTAGTTTGATCCTTGGGGAATGTCACTATACAGAAGGGCACTTCGTTTGGCAAAAGACACTCGCCAACCTGATACCCGCCTACACGTGGCCTGGCATGAAAGCTGACTGCATGGAGTATGTCCGCAGTTGCCAGCGCAACAAAACTACGACAAGAGCCCCATTGGGTCTTCTCATACCCTCGCCTATCCTATTAGAACCCAGAGATTCTGTGTCCATTGACTTCGTGTGCGAGGATCTGAGTCCTCGGCAGGCCTAAGGGGCCCCTGATACAGACGTGCCTGCCCTAAGTGAAGGCGGGCCTAAGAAATCTCGAGCGGCCCAATGATGTCAATTTCATGTTTGGGGTCCAGACAGTTGTGACGCGCAAGTTGGTTGAGGGAAACACAGGCCGAGAAGCAAAGATATTCCACGGCCTTCCAAGCTTTTCCTGAAATGCAGATCCTGGGCCAAAATCACAGCTTCATACACAGACAGTTGGGAGGCCCAACCGAATGACGCCCAACAGCTGCAGCACAGGCGCAGCCTCCTGGGGCCTACTAGAAGCTTCTGGGCAGAGGCCCAGCCCATCCAGGCCGCCACGACAGGCAAACTCTTTCCATATAGGAAAGAGCTCGCTGCCTGGAGGTTGATAGAGGCACTTGCTGGCTGGCGGCAGCGCTGCTGGAGCAATCGCTCGCATGCTGGCTGCTAGCGCTGGAGCAAGGTGCTGCACATGTGCGGTCATGTGGTGAAGTAGGGCGCTGTTGAGGGCAGCGCCATAGCCCAACCTCCATAGCTGGTTGAGGGCTTGGACGTACAGTGAGGCGCAGAGGTGGCCTTCGAGTGTACAGAGGGAAGACATGGGTGTACGACGAGGGAAAGAGAGAAGGATGATGATGATGATGATGTGAGGGCACATACTTGTTATTGGCGATGGTCTGCATCTGGGCGACATCTTCAAAGTACTTCGTTGGCTGCTGACATTAACAGTTGCATTGTCAATTAGTAGGCAGATAGTAGCTGTGTAGGAAGTAGGCTGGGCACCGAGTGCCAAGTAGGGAGAAGCTCGTGGACTCTTGTGTTGGTGGTGGCGAGAGCAAGCTCTCATTGACATTTGTTTTGAATGTTACGATTCTCCATTGGTGTCATATTGGTGCAATGCTGCTTTCTGGACACTGTGATACTTCCTGGCTTTCAATTTGATTGTGCATTCTAGATATTGTCAGCCCGCTATCGCTCATTTCCCTTGCACATGGATACTGGAGTCAGGAGTAGGCATGGCAAGAGCCAAGTCATGGTTATAGTTGATAGATTTAGCAAGTATGTAGTTTTTGTCCCTTTGTCTGCCGAGGCACGTACTGATCTAGTTATAGAAAAGTTCTTTGATCATTGCGTCAGTGAGCATGGTCTACCGCCGTCGATAGTCAGTGACAGAGACACCAGGTTCACTAGTCAGACTTGGCAGGAACTTAAAGTAAATGGTTCTAAGTTGTTGATGTCGTCTGGCCGCCACCTCGAGACAAACGGTCTGACTGAGCAGATGAACAAGATCCTGCAACAAGTTCTTCGAATGTATATTAGACCTGATCAGGTTAACTGGGACGAGATGCTTCCAAAAGTAGCCAGTGCTTACAATATCAGCGTTCACCTAGCCACTTGTTGCACTCCCAATGAGTTACACAAGTCCTTTACACCCCGCAGGCCGTTTGAGGGACTAAACCAGGACCAGATTAAGAGGCTAACGTCCGGTACTAGGGAGTTCGCACTACAGCACGAGAAGGAAATTGCCAACGTGGTAGATAACCTCAGGAAGGCCCAACACATAATGATAGAGCAAGCTAACAAGCATTGTCGCCCGTCACAATTTCAAGTAGGTGACCTTGTCTGGGTCAAGTCCAAAGAGTTCACTCCTGAGGAGAACATCTCACAGAAACTGTTGCCTGCATATAGAGGATCGTGGCCAGTTCTAGAAGTCGAAGGCGGAGACGATGGACCGTCCTACACCATAGAAATTCCAGCACACCTCCACACCTCCACACCTACCCAATTTTCCATGCGTCAAAGTTGTTGCCTTGCACTGCGAGTCAGCAGTTCCCATCAAGAAGGTACGAGATTGATGACATTGTAGATGAACATGTATTCGAGACAGGAGGTAGAGGTCGTCCAGAGAAACAGTATAAAGTCTGAGTGAGGACGCCGCCCAGTTGGGCTGGGCTCGGCCGGTTGGGCCGGGGGGCCCGCCCAGGTAAACCGGGCGGGCCAAAAAAACGCCCAGAAATATATATATATACAGCCTCCTGATGAGTCGGTGAAACTCCGACGAAACAGTTTGTCACAGCCCCTCGATTGTTGTCCTCTTCTCTCTCTCTGCCTACGGTTTACCGGGCAGTTCTGTTTGTGATGATATATATTCTATTTGACGATATATATATAT